TTTTTGCTCATTTCTCGGAGGCAAAATGAGCAAGAACGCTCATTTGTACATCATTCTAGAGAGAAATAAATGACCTTTTTAGAAAGTGAACCATAGATGGGGAAATGTTGACAGTTTTCTCAAAAAATGCTTGAATTCAAGAAGTTTTAGATTTGCGTGGTTTTTTTTTGAGTTGCAAAATCCCCTTGAACATAACGCTGCTTTTTTTCGAAGTTTCTCAAGAACCATTCGAGCCACATAATTCGTTTTGACATCGTTGGATAGATAATTGAATNGGGGGGGGCATGGCCCTTGGTAAATTGTGCCACCAAATCAATAAATTGTCTTTCGGTTTGAGGTTTTTGAGCTCATTATCCATTTCCCTGTATAACAATAAAAATACGTTTTCTCCAGAACTGAGTGGCTTGAAAACAACCTGTTTGAAAATAGCTCGCACTATTTATAAAATATTAATCTCCTTTGTCTGACTAATGGCGAGGATCAAGTGTGCAGTGAATCCCCTCATTCGCAATATGCAAATATCCTGTTTGCAAAGTTTTATCGCAAGTGCAAACCGCAGCGGTTGATTGAACCCCCAAAAAAATATTATCTCCACCTAAGTGGCTCTTGATCAAGTGCAACTTGGAAAAAGCGTCGCTCTTAAATCAATATCTTATTGAGGATCAGCAATTATCGGTATTGGCTTAAAAGGGGAATTTTGTAGTAGTGCGATGTTTACATTAAGGGGGGGCCACGCCCAGCAAAACAAACACGCGCTTCAACGAAAACCCCATTGACTTGAGCATCAAATAAAATATTAATTTTCGAAATATCAAGCTTTGGGGCATGGGATTACCCACGTAAAAGTGCATACTTCATTCGACTGGGGTGGTTTACCACACGGTGCATACAATGGACTCTACCAGTTAAACTGCGCCGAATGGGGATTCACCGTGAATTATTGAACCTTTAAGAGGCCGCGAACACACTTATAATGATTAGACGAGTCGAGTCGAGCACAAGTGATCATTGTTCGTATCAGAGAGAGAATCAACCAGAACATTCGCCCTTGAAGATGGACAACAGGGCCAATCAGAAGAATCCCAACAACTGGAAAACCGATGGCCATCAGCAAAGACCGTCCGGCTGGAACAGTACGCTAAATTGGTTAATTTTCTCCTGTTATTTACCGGTTTTTCCTCAGGTGCGCCCAAAGAGAAACGGGAAACGAGCAAGGCCGAACAGGACAACCGGTCGCAACAGAGGAATCCCAACAACGACAAATATCATGATAGCAGACGAAACTGAAGGCGCAAGAAGGTGAGTAGTTTTTTGCATCAGTTTTCAAATTTTTCAAACATTTCGCTTCTTTGAAACAGTTCAAAACTGGTTTTGAAATTCCACAGCTTTTCAGTGAAAAAGTGTGCCTCATGGAAAAACTCAATAGTTATTCAGACAAATCGATTTTTTCTTTAAAAAATGTGAAAAATTAGAAAATGCGAGGATCACGCAATTAATCATTGAAATCATTCGGAAATTATTTAGTTTTTCAACAAGACCGAAGGCACATTTTTGTGTGACAAAATGTAATTACATAGTTTTTCAGTAAAAAATGCACCTTCGGTCTTGTTGAAAAACTAAATAATTTTCGAATGATTTCAATGATTAATTGCGTGACTATCGCGTTTTCTAATTTTTCACATTTTTTAAAGACAAATATCTATGAAAAGAAGAAGAAAAAAAAACTATGTAATTACATAGTTTTTCAGTAAAAAATGCACCTTCGGTCTTGTTGAAAAACTAAATAATTTTCGAATGATTTCAATGATTAATTGCGTGATCCTCGCATTTTCTAATTTTTCACATTTTTTAAAGACAAATATCTATAAAAAGAAGAAGAAAAAATACTATGTAATTACATAGTTTTTCAGTAAAAAATGTGCCTTCGGTGTTGTTGAAAAACTAAATAATTTTCGAATGATTTGAATGATTAATGGCGTGATCGAAATTTCGATGTTTCCTAACGTGGCAAAATAGAATCTAAAGTTATCAAAAAAATACAAAAAAAACACTCAATAAATAACGATTATTGGCGTAACAGATAGGTCTTCTTGACAAAATTACTAACCTTTTTAGTAATAACAATGCGAGATATTACTAATCTCTCGATTATAAACAGAATTCGATTATTCCCATTATTAAATCACTTCGTCTACATGGATATTTTTTCGAGTGTTTCCTCCAATATTCCGTGAATCTCCTCTACTGGTTCGTCGTCTGGGGCCCTCATTCCAACGTGTATTACTTTGCAGGCTACAACCAGGCGAGCAGCCCACCAATAAGAGATCTACAAGAATTAACGCCTCTACTCGCGCTTTTTAACACTGTAAATAGAAAATAAAGCATCTACGTGAAATATGGACTAATTATTTAAATAATAACACGTTGAACTTGGGGGGTTTAAATAACAACACAAAAACTGGGGCTTCCCTCTAACATGCTGGACTGGCATCGGCTAGAGAAAAACTTCAACTACTGCACATTTTCAACAGCCCCAATAGTGCATCACAGGAAACCCACCAAAAAGGAGTGTTTGTTTAAATAAATCACTAATTGCAATAATTGAAAGTAACGCTAATATTTAACGCTAATTGTCAAACAATTACTATGACATTAACAAAGACTAAAGCTGTCAACAAGTAGATATGAGGTCATCAACGAGTACCACTGCTGCTGCGAGCGCTTTTTTTCAGGCGCAACTTTTGTCAAAGTCGGAAAAAGCGAAACATACAGACTGCAAATGGTTGCGTTTTTAATTGAACGAAACATTGTAAGTAGTTCAAGGATCGCCAATAAAATATGCCCGGGGGCCTGCTTTAAAAAGTACAAAATTAAACAACTCCCAGTGGCCACAACCAATACGTTTCGGACAATTTGAACAAAAAAAAACTTAACATTACATTTTTAAGTATGTTCATTGGAGCTGCACTGAACAATTACACTCAATTAGGCGGTGTCACCTTTGGCTCGATAGAATTCTCGCATTAGTCCCAAAGGCGACACATCCAGAGATTTAATGTAATCGTTTATTAAATAGCATTTTCTCCATATTTAAATTCAATACAATCCTAAATATTTACAATTATACATTCACGTATCACTGTTCTTTGCACAAAACCACAATTCGCTCATCCACTTGTAAAAATTTGTTACTTGATGGAAAGTTTATAGGGAAACTACCAGTTCTCAACCAGTAGGGGTCATCGCAACTGTGGCCATTCGGAGTAAATCAACATTTTCCCAAAAATTCTTAAGTATTGTAAACAGCACCTCATTGTACAAGCTTTATATAATATAAAATAAACTGAAATAACCACTTACATGTTTTGTCTACCGAAACCGTTTTCCATGAGGTCGTGATTCCAGCACTTGAGTAATTTTTGGGAAAATGTCGATTTACTCCGAATGCCTTCTCAACCCTCCACATATTGAAGCGATTTGCAAAGCGGGCGCCCTGTAAACCTTCGCCAAAACTGTTGAATTTAATCGAAAACAAAACGTTACATCAGAGTTATCAAAAAAAAATGGTAAAATAAATTAGTTTAAGGCGAGTTCGTGTCGAGACACAGAGCCCCATCATGCCAAGTACTTGTACTCGTCCTTCTGGCCCTCCGTTCGCTCCAGATATTCCTTTTCGATGAGTATGTCTATGCATTTCTGGACAATTATGTTTGTTTAAATCACCCATTCGCTATTCCACGATTGATAAACAATCCAAATAATTGAACGAACTCACCTTAATAGTCTGCACGCGTGGCTTAAACCGCGAAGACAATTGATTGAGTACTTCGGCTACTAGTTGCTGATGTTGGTGGACCTGAAAGCGCCCCGAAACAATCAGCAAAGCGCAATTAATTTGCCACTAAAGACGCACCTTTCGCATTTTCATAATCCTGACAATCGCTGCCTGGATCAAAAGCTTCCGGTCCTCCTCTATGTGCTTGTGGGTGGTCTCCTGCTCCAGCTTCAGCTCGGTTTTCATCGGTATATTGATGTTTACTCGCAGTTTTTTACTAGAAGAAACACATTGTCACACACATGCAATGGGGCCAAACACCAAACAGCCCTACTTTTTATAACCCTGATTTAGAGACACGTTCGAGTTTCCTGATATATCATTGTCTTCCTCATCGCACACCAACAGTTTGGCTTTGAGTAGGATTTGGATCACCTGCAACAAAGAACAACATTATTTTACGCACGTCTTCACTGAATTCGTTTGAACGAAAGCAGTCGACGAAGTGGCAAAAGTAAGATTAAATCAGCCGAATGCAGACAACTAATTGGGGAAACAAACTGGGACAGACTGTAGAACGAGACGAAGAAGACGGTCAAAAGTTCACTCACTTGTACAAGAAAGTCTTGCTTAATCTGTGTATTTTCCTCTAATTGGGCCACAGTCCACGAATCGGCCACGTTGAACTGCAAAAGCACAGCCATTTGAAACGTGCTCGCTTGTAGCGTATACCTGAAAAGCCATCAATAAACTCTAAACGCTGTTTCATGTGAACCTCATCCATCATAACATTACCTATTTTTAAAGCAGTTTGTGTTAAGTTCGCCCTTGGACATGTTGTAGAGCCAGTTCAATTTCCGGCCGGAGTGTTGACTGGCGTAGAAATTGGTAAATCTGCTAACACTGCGTTCCAACTGCAACCGAAAAAAAACTTCAGTGGTTTCTTCATCTGCTCCAGCAACTAAAAAACCCACCTCAGAGGGCAGACCGAAAGTGAAGCTCTGCTGAAACGGCCACGATCCGGACGATAACACTTGAATACTAAAATCTATACCTGCAATTTGAAAAGTTCAATGTCAGACCAAACTGCACAGGGAAAATTAGAGTCTCACCTAGAGACTCATTTGAGCCTGCCATATGATTCCTGAACTGCTCGTTAAGGTCCTTGGAAACGCCGATATCTTGGAACATGCGTTGCAGCTTTGAAGTGTACTCGAAACCGCAGGCCTGCTTCAGTTTTGAGATCATTGACGCCTCGGCGTCGTCACTGGCAGACATATGCTGAACTAATCTCTTGGCTAACATCTACAGAACGAAATAGTTGGTAATTGAACTGTTAAAGTGGCCATTCGGGCAATACACACCTTGCTGTAGAACTTTTGGAACACGTCCTTGTCTTCTATATACTTGAACACAACCATCTGAAAAGAAATCAACTGAGTTAGATGGGAGTTCGTTTCATTCGAGCGGGTGCGAGGCTGTAAATGATCAGTTAGTTACCACTTGATTGAGCGTGTCTTCCAGTTCTGCTTCCTCGGCGTTTTTGTTGCTCTTCTTCAGCAGCAAGTCGCAATATTTGGCAAGCAATTCAGGAGATCTGCTAGAGGAGTTGGCCGACCTCGTGACGGCATTAGTGTTGATAAACCGGCCGCAAGCCTTGTCCAAAGCGGCCACAAAGCCGCTATCGTTTCCAAATGCAATCAACACGAGCGCGTTGTATTTCCGGTGCACGTCCAATATGGTATTTACGTAAATTTTCGGATCCTGCAAATCAAACGGTCAGATTTGCCGATGGAGTGTTTCTCAACGGGCAAACTCACATTGATTGCGGCCTCGCCGCATTTTTCAATCGCCGCCAAACCTTGGTAGGCAATGTGTTGCTCCAAAAGCCCACGCAGTTCACCTGAAAAACAGAGGTGTTTAAAATTGTCAACGGTAGCAATAGGAGAGTGGAGCGTTTCTACCTAGCCCATCGGGAATTCGAGCAACTAGGCTATACATCCGTCCAAGATCGTCATCCTTATCTGCATCAAGCAGCTGTTTAAACTCAGAATGCAACAGCTCCAGATGTTTTTGAATCAATACTCGCTCGCACGTCTTCGCCAGGCGTTCGGAGGTAGTCTCGTGCAAATACATCTGAACCCTTCGTTGTTCTTCCACTAGGCGCTGTTCAGCCTGGCAATATCAACAATTAGCGCTCCAGTTGCCCCCTGTTCTGAACGGCACTCACCCGCTTCATGTACTCAGTCACGGGATTTTCGGCCAAAAAAGCGCTGCTTTCCCTCGTATAAAACCGCTCAGTGTCCTCGAGAAACACATTTTCGAAACTGTCTTTATAGACGGTCAGGTTCGGCCCCTTCGTGCCCGGCTCCTCCTCATTGAGACCCAACTCGACGTAACAATTGATGACCCCCGACACCAACCGAGTATTTATCGTCTCTCCGTTGCGCTCTTTTTCGATCAGCTTGAGCACAGCGTTTGTTACCTGAAACAATCGTATGGCTACAAGAACATCCACAAAACAGGTCAGGAAATAAAGAGAATCGAAGCTTTGCTAGTCATCATCATTTTTTCCTTCTCGAAACCCGGAAAACTTAAAAGTTAAACGAGAATTTTTTAATCAAATGCGATCGTTTCCAGTCCTTCCTGCTTACCCCTTTGTTCAGCTGCCTGAAGAGATTGTCTCGCCAAGTGACCAACGCCAACTGATAGATTTCGTAGACAAACTTTCGTCCTTCTTCGCACTCTCTTTTCACCCAATGTCGGTTCAAATAAGCGCACACTCCATCGAGCACCTTGCTACAAAACTGATAGTCTTCCCATTGCACTGTGTAAAACTTCAGCACATCCTCATCCATTCTGTGAATTGCGTCCTAAAATTGCATTGAAAACCCTCCAAATGCACTATGCAGAAGCACAGAACGGCTCACCTCTAACAATCTAATAAGATAGGACTTCAAAAAGTCCTTCAACCTCTTGTACAGCTCCATGCCCACCAACTGAGCGCCACCCCCTACTTGATTTCGTCGGTTCTTGGACGTGGAGTTCGAGGCGCCCCTTCCATTGTTCTGCTGATGCACTGAAGTGCAGTAGTTGTAAACGTGAGTATAAAGCTCCATATACCTGCAAGAAGAACGACCCTGCAGTGACTGTTGGGCTAATGGGGTGTTGCTACTCCCCACCTTTTCTTGGACATATTTTCCCGGTTGTAAACCTGTCTGATGCCGCAGTTCAAGTCGCCCCATATCTGATCCAGGTCAATCACTGTTTTCAGGCCGCCAGTGTTGTGCATCGAATTGATGGTGTTCTTATTTGACATCGCCTCTCTATCTATATCCCCGCAAAATATGGTAAATCTAGGACAGACGTGAACTGATGAACATTCAGAAGCCGAATCAATGATGTTGAATGGGGAAACTGAAAAGAAAAGTTGATGGCAAGGGAGGAGATCGGACAAGGTCCAAATCTGCAAGTCACCAGGATTTTGCCAAAACACTGTTCCCAGCAGGCCCGGGACAAGCATAAGTCAGCCAAGTGCCCGAAATGCGATAAATCCAGCGCAATTTCCCGATTTTTAATTTACTGTTTTGATGGATATAATCATTCACCTTTTGTTTGCTACCATCCATCAAACTTTCTTTTTTTTCAAATAGCTCGCAAGCGCCACTTACCAGTCTTCTTATAACATAACAAAATAATCGGCACTATATACAGTAAATAATGAACGCGAAAACCCCAAATTTACAAAATTATTAGGAAAATTTAAACGATTTTATTTGTTTCCCTATTTTCGGATTTCACGAAAAGTTGACAGCTCAGTCGTATTGACACATCCAGCTGAAGTTTGCTTCGAATTGGGGATTTTCGATTTCCCACTAACGCTGTTGGATTTATCAGTTACCACACAAAACTCTGATTCTAATTAGTCCTGATAGTTAGAAATATTCAGACCTTTGGAATCGCTCAACTCAGAGCTCAGACTCAGGAATCGACATTAATTAGTAAACATTTGTGGTTGGAACCATGATAGACTTCTTGGCTGAAAGTTATTTTACGCAACCAACACAACGAGGTGACTCTTGTCTGGAATTACAATGCACTGTTGCCGGACTTATGATTTAGTTTCTTGCAAATATGTAAGGTTTCTGAAAAATGCGGATTTAAATTGTATAAAAAAACCTTCTTAAGTTCTTTGTAACAGTTGAAAAATTTCCGAACTTATATTCGCAGGTGCGAAGCAAAAACACCATTGCCAAAGTTCCGATTAAATTTTTTGCAGATATTCGTGACGTCAGACATTCGCATATAAGAGTGATTTGTGGCAAATTTTATGAACGTCACTGTAAACCTTGAGAAGGTTACTAAAAAACTACCGAAACTCTACAAAGACTGCTAAAGAACTCAGCGAAACAAAAACCCAAATTTAAAAAAAGTATACGCAATCACATCGGCAACCTCGCCAAAACGTCACTGTCACCACGACACTTCAAGCTTCAAGTTAAATTGCCGCTATTTTCCAATAGTAAACAAACCAGCAACGCACATGCAGCCCTAATTTTCGAAATTCCACACTGATCACTTGACTTAAACTGGGTCGAAATGGGAATTTTGAATCTAACTAAATTCCTAGCCGACGTGGCGCCGCATTGTATCAAAGAAACGGACATTAAATCATACTTCGGTAAGCGCGCAACCCGACACTTAATGCTCCTCTTTCGCTACCAATGCTTTCTCATAGGGCGCAAGGTGGCCATCGATGCCTCCATGTCCCTGTACCAGTTTCTGATCGCCGTTAGATCAGAAGGAGCTCAACTGACCACAGCCGATGGGGAGCCCACGTCGCACTTGGTGGGCACCTTCTACAGAACCATCAGATTGTTGGAGCATGGCATCAAGCCCGTGTATGTTTTCGATGGGAAGCCGCCCGAAATGAAAGGGGGCGAACTGAACAAGCGCATGGAGAAACGGGCGGAGGCCCAAAAGGTGAGCGTTTAACATGATGGGGAAGGTGCGATGTCTTACCAATGGGTAGGCCCTAGATAAAGCCATGGAGGCCGGAGACCAGGCTGAAGTGGACAAATTTAACCGGCGGCTAGTGAAAGTTACGCGACATCATGCTGACGAGGCCAAGGAGCTGCTGAGGCTGATGGGAGTGCCCTACATTGAAGCCCCTTGCGAAGCTGAGGCTCAATGCGCTGCAATGGTAAAGTGATTGATGCTTCTGTAAAATGACTGATGCTGATGGGTAAAACTTACGCTGTGCAGGTGAAAGCAGGAAAAATCTACGCCACAGCCACTGAAGACATGGACGCTTTGACTTTCGGGTCCGACATCGTGCTGCGCCATTTAACATTCAGTGAGGCCCGCAAGATGCCCATTCAGGAGATTCACCTGAAAATCGTTCTGCAAGAGCTGAATCTCAGCCAGACCGAGGTAAAATCAAGTGCCACGGACAAATGACGGTTTTTTTTATCGAACCTTTCAACAGTTCATAGACTTCTGCATCCTGATGGGCTGCGACTACACGGACTCCATCCGGGGAATCGGGCCGAAAAAGTCAATCGAACTGATCAAGAACCATCGCAGCATTGAAAAAATCCTGGAAAACATCGACAAATCGAAATATCCACCACCGGAGGACTGGAACTACGAGGGCGCCAGGGGGCTGTTTGTCAAACCCGAAATCTCCGATCCGGATTCCATTGAGGTTGGTGTACATTTGATGAAAAAATGCGCTCAATTAACACAGTAGTTGAAGAACGGCCGCTTTTTAAATTGCAGCTCAAATGGGGCGAGCCGGATGAAGAGGGCATGGTGAAGTTTTTATGCGGCCATCGGCAGTTCAGTGAAGACCGGGTTCGAAATGGAATCAAGAAACTGCAAAAGGCCCGCGGTACCAGCACGCAGGCCCGGCTGGATGGCTTTTTTACAGTGCTTGGCACCACTCCGGCCAAGAGGAAAGCTGACGACAAGAAGAACACGCCGAACAAACGAGGCAAATTGGGGGGCGCTGGCAAGGGACGGGGCCGGCCTAAATAGACTCGCTTTCACAGAACTGATCTCGTTACTTTTTTACTTTGCTTTGATATTTATAAATATATGCGAATTTCCTGATCGTTTGCTTTGTTCCCCATTCAATTCTCTATCCAACGATGCCAAAACGAATTCTGTGGCTCGAATGGTTCTTGAGAAACTTCGAAAAAAGCAGCGTCATGTTCAAGT